GGTTTAAGTCTGACCAATATGAGATGGGGAGTGAGAGTCTGTATGAAGTCAGACCCCACCTAGACTGGCCAGGACAAGAAGAGAATCAGGTGTTTCAGACAGCAAGCTTTGAGGCCTGGGAGAATAAGATGATCTGAGAAAATGAGGCAATTTCAAGATATTTGCAGGGGTAGTTGAATTCAATTTGAATTATTTTCTGAAGGGAGAGTGTGTAGAGAACTGTGTGAGAGACAGGAATAAATGACCTTATGAAGTTCCTGACGTTAGGAAGTTCTCAGTCTAGCGGGATAATGCCTATTCTGCCTGTCTCAGCGGTATATGAGGGTAAAGTGAACTGAGGGAAAGTGCAGGGAACAGTAAAAGACAAATGTCAAGAAGCTGTTTTCATAGTTACTAAGATGTAACAATTAGATTTTACTTATTAATAACCATGTCTCCTGTCATTCTAAGAGTCCACTGCTATATTCAAGCAGACCATTTAAACTGTATTTTTGCTCAACCATTCGAATTTGATTGGAAGGAGAGGGAAGCCCTACCGATCACACCTAGCCCCTCCCTAAAGTGTCATCTTGCCGACCCTTCCAGTCATTCATGCAACAATCCCAGTAGTAAAGTGGGACCATGCTTGCCATCACCAGGGCTCAAGAAAATTGGCCAGCTGGATCTGCCTGGCCGGTGGAAGCTGAGTCTGGGGTGTTAGAGAAAGAGATGTCAGGACTCCATACTTCTCCTGCATTATTCCATCTCATCTGGTCAGTAGGTAGCAGGCATGGCAAAGGCCACTCCTCAGAAGATGCTAGGTCAGTGAAAAGACACCAACTCAAGTATGAGCCGTCTTACCCCGTTCCTATTTCCTGGCGTCTTGGGGAAAACTGAGGATGAAAGTGACCTAGAGCAAACTAAACACAGTTTGGCCATTCATTACGTATTTATGCCTCTCTGTTCCTTTCTCATTCTATCCTCAAAGGATTCATTTTGCATCTATCAAATAGTTCTAGGCCTTCTCCTTATCAAACTTAGCCTTCTGTGGATTTACATACCAGAGACTTCCAAACCACAGTTCAGAAGTGATCTGGGGAGAATGGGGCAGGACAGAGCGAGCCTGGGAATGGAGGCAGCGGCCCAGGCGGCAGAGCCATTTCTATCTGCTACTCCCTCGGTCCAGAGGCTGTTTGTTTGAGTTGGGAGGAAGCCAGTCACGTGGGTTGGATCGGGGTGTCCTGTCCCAGGAGACAGGCAGCTATTTGTCTCCTCTCTTGAAAGAGTCCTGGGAGGAGGAGGGAAGGGCTTAGGAACAGGGGTGGAGTGGACAGGGAAAAGATAGTCAATCGGATCCCCAAAAAGTAGAGTTGGGGTGGCTCCCTGTTATTAGGTGTGGCCCAAGTGAAAACCTGGAGCTTGTCTGACTTGGAGAGCCGAGGAGAGGAGCAGAAGAGGGTTAGCGGAAAAAGCAGAAACTTCTACACTTGTCTCAACAACGGTATTGGGTGTGATTTTGGGCAAGTCACCTTCCTCTCCACCTCCTCTTCATCTGGTAAATGAGGAAGCTCAGTGTCCTGAGGTCCCCTCCAGTTCCGAAAGTGTGTGCTTCTAATAACGTGAAGCTACTGCCATGGGTCTGCTCAGCAGACAGAGGAAAGGGCTAAAACTCGATTGAAAGCTCTCAATGTTTCTAAATGGCTATTGACAGGGCAGGTGAGGGAGTCTTCTCTCTGCATTGACAGCAAACACCCCAAAAAGAGTTGGGCCTATTCCGGATTATTGGAAATGTCCTATATCTTGATCTGGGGAGGGGGGGTTTACCTGTGTACATGTTATGCACTTTTTTTGGCACGTAAATTATACCTCAATAGAAAAGTTTAAAAAACCCCAGCAGGAATTTAGACAACTTCCTAAAAAGAGAGACTTGTGAATTTCCACCCAGGCAGATTAAGAACACCTTTCTTCTGAGAACTTTAAACTAAGAAGATTATCCATCTATGCTGAAGGAAGAGGTGGAAAATTAGGGAACAGATAAGATGACCTCTGTTTTGGGGACATTTCTGAAGTGCCTCTATCCTCAGAAATTCCCATGTTCCTTCCCAGGGACAGAGAAATCATCCTCACTGTCTAATTTCCGTCTCTCCTACTGCAACACTGGCCACTCCCTCTGCCCTCCATGGAGCCCAGCCACCCTCCCGGCCTCAGATAAAATCTCTATAGAGCCTTGCAGTTTGGAGTATTGAGCGAGACCCCATTTTAACCTTCTCACCATCCGCTCTCCCTCTCATCCCCTTCTCTTCTTACTGGGGATGTCTGCTTCTGCTCTGAGCCCACCCCACACCCAGGCCCTTTTTCCGGTGGTATGTGCCAGCCTGTCCTGCATCCCACACCCCCAGCTGTTGACATTTCGTTGCTGTTACCCACAGGATGAAGAAAGGGGCCCTGTTATTCAACAATGGAGGAAAAGACAGAGACAATGGGAGATTGTGCTTCCGATGGGGTGGGGACAGAGAAGGAAAGGACAGACAGACAGACAGGGTGGCTGTACAGAAGGGGTGAGGTTTTTGAAGCAGCTGGAAGTCCTGGAAGTCTGGTTTCCACCTTGAGAGCCTCTTTCCAAAGGCAATGCGCACCCAGGCACCGGAGGGCAGAGGTGAGGACTCTGTTGGGAGGGAGGGGAGGCAGGGCGTGCTGCTTAGATGAGACCCCCATGGAAATGTGGAGGCAGCTGGAGCTTGACAGCTATGGATCTTTGAGCCACATTCTGAGTTCATTCCCATCCCCATCCAACCAAAACCCTCATATCCGCCAATCTACCCCTCTCTGGTCCAAGGGCATCTAGAAGCAGGGAGGCACCCCACTTTCTGCACTCTTCCAGGTAATCAATCATTCCCGGGTTGCTTCCTTTATTCCAGCCCCCTTCATGGGTTCCCACCCCTCTTCCCAAGCCCAGCATCTCCTCCTGTGAAAGGGAGCTCCACAGATACTGTCACAGGGCTGGACACCGGTCACTTAGCCTGGCTTGGTGCACTGATGGATAGGGGAGGGTTCTTGGCACCATAGTGTCTTCTTGGAGGACAGAGCAGAAGCCTTCCCTCAAAGGTGCAAAAGGAGCAACTGTGTTGATCAAGCGCTCAAGTCCCAGGTGCTTGGAAATCCCAGGAGCCCGGGCAACACCTCATCCAGAACCTCTTCCTCAAGCAGGACGAAAAGCTGCTAAGCATCACTCCCTCCATCTCTGTGGAGAGACCAGCTTCTAACAGGTAGGCCTCGGTGCTGCTGACTCTTCTGCAAGGGCTGTGAAGATGACGCGTGTGTACCTATTTTGAATCAGTGCTTAAGAGCTTTAGCCTCACTGTCAGATCTGGATTCAAATCTCAGCAAAGCCCTCCTCTTACTAGCTGTGTGACTAGTTTCCTACCATGTGTGCATCTTTGTTTCAGCATGTGTACAATGGGATTTATGACAGTTTCTACCTCACAGGATTGCTGGGAGGAAATATAGAAGTATACATGCAAAGTGCCTAGAGCAGTGCCAGGTGCATTAAACTTTAAGCATGTTCATTTAAAACAGCAACTCAAAGTATTGTAAAGAAAATAATTTTTTAAAAAATATCCATGGCAGCTATCATTCTTATTGGTCCCTAAATCAATTTCTGTCCCCATAATCACTCTAATTGACCAAGTTCTGTAAAGAAGTGGTTCTGTTGCTCTTGTCCCTGTCCCAGATATTTTCACTTTTAACCATTGGGAAGTTCTTTCTGTGCCTAACCTCTGTTTCTCCTACTGCAACCTGGTCTTTGGTCCTCATGTGCAGGAAGATGGAGCTCAGCACTTTAGATATCTGGCTACTCTTCAAGGTGTTCCCTCCCTCTCCTCGTGCCCCACCTCTTCTTCCCAGAAGTCCTGAATGTGAGCTCATTCATTAAAACACACACACACACACATTTATTTAGCGCCAACTATGTGCAAGAAACTACACTGGGAACTGGAAATAACAGCTAACATATACATGGCACTTATTATATATCAGGCACTACTTCAAATGTTTTACATATTCATCTACTCCTCCCAACTATTCAATAAGATAGGTGTGCTATTACTCTCCACATTTTACTGATGAGGACACCGAGGCAGAGAGAGGTTAAGTCATGCAATTGTCATGCAATTAGGAGGTAGAGGAGCCAGATTTGGAAAATGAATAAAACCAAGTCAAGGGGTCCTCAGCCCAATATTTTATTTTATTTTATTTTTTCAGACAGAGTCTCACTGTGTTGCCCGGGCTAGAGTGCCGTGGCGTCAGCCTAGCTCACAGCAACCTCAAACTCCTGGGCTCAAGTGATCCTTCTGCCTCAGCCTCCCGAGTAGCTGGGACTACAGGCATGCGCCACCATGCCCGGCTAATTTTTTCTGTGTTTTTAGTTGTCCGATTAATTTCTTTCCATTTTTAGTAGAGACGGGGTCTCGCTCTTGCTCAGGCTGGTTTCGAACTCCTGAGCTCAAACAATCCGCCCGCCTCAGCCTCCCAGAGAGCTAGGATTACAGGCGTGAGCCACCGCGCCCGGCCTCAGCCCAATATTTTAAACAAAAGGTCAAGGTGATATGAATGATACAGTAAAAAAGGGGGAAAAATCAACTACTATATGGAAATAGATAATTGCATTTGAAATAGTTTTTAAAGTAACATTATAATTTAATGCTTTTTAACTTTTATGTTCTGAAAAACCTCATTGACACAGTCTACATATACGTATGCATTACTTTCAAATTTACAGTGTTAGTTTAGGTGCGAACAATAGTACTACTGAAAAAAAAGTCCCAGATCTCGTGCATTACAGTGTGCAAACTGGGGAATGAGAAAAGGTTTCCCAGAGGAGGCGCAGCCCAAACCAATGCCTGTGAAGAGGAAGTGAGCTCCAACTTGGACTGTTTAGAAAACTGCCAGAAGCCTAGACTGTCTGGAGCACAGTGCAGAGGGCAGGGGTGGTGAAGGGCAGGGGTTCGGGGGGGGGGGGGGCAGGCTGCCTGACAGACAGCCTTGGAAGCTGCGGTTAGCAGATTGGACTTTATCCTCAGGGCGACTGGGAGTCACTGTTTCAAGTGGGAGAGTGACAAGATCATATTGACTCTGGCTTCAGGATGGAGAATGGGTGCTAGGAGAGGATAGAGACGGACACTGGCAATGCAGATGGCAAGCTCGGGAAGCAGCGCTTGTGATGAGAGGGGAGGAGAGGGGAGAGGTAGAGGAGAGGCCCAGTCAGCACCTGCTGACTGAGGGGATGTGAGAGAGGAAGGGGGGTTGTTACTGCCTCCCCCATTACCTGCCTTTTGTCACCAGCCCCTATTTCTGCCCCCATGGCTTCCAGCTGGACAGTCGCCTCTAGGAATCCCTGATAGGAGTTCATCCCCATCCCTGCTGTTGCCCCACCCTTTTCGCTCAGTGCTAAGGAGGTGCCCACCCTGAGTGCACCCTTTGTGCCCTGCAGAGGCGCTGGGCTGACTCCCATCATGCCAGGTCGGCTCACCCTTCCCACACTCTGCCGCTTCCTTCTCCCCTGGGCCTGCACCATCTTCCACAGAGCCCAGGGAGACCCAGGTAAGATGGGAGGGGAGGCCGGAGACTGGGGGACACTGGGGGAGAGATGCCAGGAGTGAGGAAAGGGGAAAGGGCAGCTGTTGGAGGTACCCAGGGAGTCAGAGTCACTGCTGAGGGGCCAACGGAGGAGAGGGTTGGGGGACCCCGGGGAAAGAATTTGGGGGGCAGGATCTGGATGGGCACTGGGGCAGTGAGGATCAGGGGGTTCCTGCCACTGTGGCCCCCTCTGCTCAGCATCCCACCCGGGCCCCCACTACCTCCTGCCCCCCATCCACGAGGTCATTCACTCTCATCGTGGGGCTACGGCCACGCTGCCCTGCGTCCTGGGCACCTCGCCTCCCAGCTACAAGGTGCGCTGGAGCAAGGTGGAGCCGGGGGAGCTCCGGGAAACGCTGATCCTTATCACCAACGGACTGCAAGCCCGGGGCTACGGGCCCCTGGGAGGACGCGCCAGGATGCGGAGGGGGCATCGGCTAGACGCCTCCCTGGTCATCGCGGGCGTGCGCCTGGAGGACGAGGGCCGGTACCGCTGCGAGCTCATCAACGGCATCGAGGATGAGAGCGTGGCGCTGACCCTGCGCCTGGAGGGTGAGGCCCTTCTGCTCCCGCTCCCGCTACTTTCTAGCTAGGGTGGGGCCGCCTCGCCTGGGGTCTCCCAGGGCTCCTTCCCAGCATCTCCCCCGCCCCTCTGAGGTCCCCCCAATCCCCTCTCCTAGGCTGCGCCGCCCTTCCTCCCCCTTCCCTCCCTGTCTGCTGGCCCTTCCCAGGCTCTCCGCCACCCCCCAGGTGTGGTGTTTCCGTACCAACCCAGCCGGGGCCGGTACCAGTTCAATTACTACGAGGCGAAGCAGGCCTGCGAGGAACAGGACGGACGCCTGGCCACTTACGCCCAGCTGTACCAGGGTGAGCGGCCGAACCCCAGCACCGCCCAGGCCCCTCCAGCTGTCGCAGGGTCCCAACGAGGGCGCCTGCCTGGGGCGCCTCTCATCCCTGACCCCCTCCGTCTCCCGTCAGCGTGGACTGAGGGTCTCGACTGGTGTAACGCGGGCTGGCTGCTCGAGGGCTCCGTGCGCTACCCGGTGCTCACCGCGCGCGCTCCGTGCGGCGGCCGAGGCCGGCCCGGCATCCGCAGCTATGGGCCCCGCGACAGGAAGCGCGACCGCTACGACGCCTTCTGCTTCACCTCGGCGCTGGCGGGTGAGCGGCGGGCGAGCGGCCCTGGGACCCGGACTTGGGGCGGGGGGCGGGAAGGGAGCTCCGAAGGCGGGAGGTCGGGAGCGGTCTCCTTGTCTCTCCAAGGCGCCGTCCCCGCCATCCGCCCGCCTACCTCTGGGGACCCCACCCGCACCCCACTGCCTAGCGTCTCCCACTCCTCCTGCTGGAGCTCTGTCCCCCAACTCCGCTGCTCGGAGTCCGAGTCCCCGCCACGCCGCGCCCCACCCTGCTTTGGTTCTGTCGCTGACCCGCTCCGGTCCCCAGGCCACGTGTTCTTCGTGCCCGGGCGGCTGACTCTGTCTGAAGCCCACGCGGCGTGCGGGCGGCGTGGGGCCGTGGTGGCCAAGGTCGGGCACCTCTACGCCGCCTGGAAGTTCTCGGGGCTGGACCAGTGCGACGGCGGCTGGCTGGCGGACGGCAGCGTGCGCTTCCCCATCACCACGCCGCGGCCGCGCTGCGGGGGCCTCCCCGACCCCGGGGTGCGCAGCTTCGGCTTCCCCAGACCCCAGCAAGCGACCTACGGGACCTACTGCTACGCCGAGAAGTAGGGGCCTGCCGGACCCCTTCGTCGTGGCGGGGTCTCTCGCCGCCCCTTTCCCGCGAGCCTCCCGCCAGACGCGGAGCGGCCGCTCCAGACCTGCCTCCCCCACCGGGGGCCGCGGGCCACGGACCCCGGCAGGTCCGGCGTCGGGGAGGGGAGGTGGTGGCGCCCCCGGCGGCAGGGTACGAATATGACCCTGGAACTCGCGGATCCAGACCCGCGGAGTTCGCGTTGCCCCGGCGGAGGACGCAGCCACCGCTAGCGGGCGGGAGGGGCGCCCGGGGGCATTAACTGACCTCTGAACACAGCAATAAAATAATCTGGGGACCTTCTGTGTTGGGCGGAGCTGTAAGCACTGCGAGGCGTGGGGTAGGTGTGAGTAAAGGAGCTAAACCTGGACCCAGCGTGCCAACTGCACCCCTAAGAAGACGGGGTAAGAGGAGGGGCTACTGCCGCTACGGGGTGGGCCGGCGGAAGAGCGGGGCTTGTGACAGAGGGCACCGACTGGCGGTAGGTGCGAGTCGGAGACGTCTTGGGCTGCCCGGCCCAGGACTCACGCCGCAGAACCCAGGCTGCTGTTGCGCCAGGCGCCACGCGGGGGCGCCGCACACTCGCCTAAGATTACTCCAGCTCAACTCTGCCAGGAGCGCTCCATACCCCCGGGCCCACCCTGTGGGCTCCAAAGAACAAATATAAGATGGACCTAAACATATTTCAAAAGGTGGTTGTATAGTGCCGGGCTCCCAGAAGCGTTTGCGGGGGCTAGTATTAAAGACTGAAAGATTGAAGAGTTGGCCGGGTGCAGTGGCTCATGCCTGTAATCCCAGTGCTTTGGGACACCGAGGTGGGAGGATCTCCCGAGGCCAGGAGTTCATCAGCCTATGGGTGACATAGGGAAATTCCGTCTCTACAAAAAATAAGAAAAATTAGCCGGGAGTGTGGCGCACACCTGTAGTCCCAGCTACTCAGAGACTGATGCAGGAGGATGGCTTGAGCCCCGGAGCTGGACGCTGCAGTGAGCTATGATCGGGCAACTGCACTCCAGCCTGGACGACACAGCAAGACCCTGTCTCGAAAAAAAAAAAAGAAGGAAAATCATACCGTTGTTACAATCGGCAGGGAATTAACCCCAGGGAAGAAGAAGGATGAGGAAAACACCAAATATCGTGGCCACCAAGGCAAAAGGAGGAACTAGACTATTAACTTTCTTAGCATATGGCTAAAGGAAACAAACTAGTATTCTAATGTTATTAATTCATTTTTTCAAGTATAGATATTGTTCAAGCAATCTACACCGCAAAAAGCCTGGGTTAGTAATAGTAATGAGTGAGCCAAAGGGTATGAACATTCTAATGGTGTTTGATACCTGTTGCAAAATTTTTAATACTTTCCCAGAGGGTTCTTGCTATAATTGCTGAAGAGGATTCATCCCATGGGACATTATATAAGGGACAGGGAATGACAGAATGTACAGTATCTTCACTAACCATCATACAGCAAACCAGTCCTACAGGCTACTTGGGAACAACCTCAATAATAATTACTACCATTGTTGCCATATTATTGCTATAATAATTATTATTATTAATTATTATAGGTACTGTTTATTGAGTGCCTGTTAGGTGTACCAGGCATGGAGTACCCAGTACATGTATTGTCTCAACTAATTCTCACGACAAACCCAAGGGACAGGCACTATTATCCCACAACCAAGATGAGAAAACCAAGGTTTAGGAAGTGGCACAAATATTTCATTTGCTGTATGATGGTTATTAATGATCAAGATCAGCTAGATTATGCCGTGATAACAAACAGCTCCTAAATCTCAGGGCTTAAAATACTACGGTTTATTTCTCACTCAGGCCACATGTGCATCGTGGTCAACAAGGGGGCTCTTCTCATTTTTGTCATTTAGGGACATAAGCTGATAGAGCGGTGGCCATCTCAAATGCCATCAATCACCACACAAGAAGGAAAAAATAAAAAGAGCTCTGTTGGGTCTTACACAGGCAATTAATAGCTCTCACCCAGAGGTGACATCTTTCCCTGTGGTTCATAACTATCTAGTCATACGGCCTCACCCAACCACAAGAGGGGAAGAAAGAGCAATCCTACTTCTGCCTAGAAGTGGGAGAACTGCAAATACGTGATGACAGCACCAGCATCCACAAGCACCAAGGAGGGCCGTTTAGATTTCTGGGTCCTTTTCCCAAACAAGGTACCATTCGCAGGTTCCAGGGGATCAGGACATAGACATATCTTTTTGTGGTCACCATTCAACCCACTACACCTGTCAATTTTGGGGGTGGGGGAGGACAAGGTGTCACTATGTTGCCCAAGCTGGTCTCAAACTTGTGAGCTCTAGCGATCCTCTCTCCTCAGCCTTCCAAGGAGCTGAGCCTACAGGTACACGACACCACGCCCAGCTTCAATTTTTTATCTAATGGCTACTGATGATCGTTGGCTAGATTATTTCATTAGGAGTTGCAAAATGGAGACTTTTCTAATTTTTCCATTCCTCCTTCATTTATTAGTTGTGAATCACCTATAAAGAAAAATTTCTCTCAACAACTGTTTTGTTACCCTGACATATAACCTACTCTGAACAGGTAGGATTAGTGCTTGATTCTCTCCCATTGGTCTTGGGTAAGGTTTCCTAAAAGCAGATCTTGAGTGAGGATTATGAGTATAAGTAGTTTATCTGGGAGGTGATGCTAAGAGGCACTGGGAGAGGGGTGGAGAAGTGGGACAGGAAGGGAAGAAAGTCAGGTGTGTGACAGGTGTGTCACAGAGCAGGCAGGTAACTGGGGCCCAATCCTGCTGGGGACTCTGGGAGACCATGAAGAAGCTGCCTCAGAGAATCCCACATGAAGGGCAAAGAAACAAAAAAACTAGGATGGTTTTTTTTTCACTTCTCTTACCAAGTTGTGATCTGAGAAACTAGGGTATTATTGTCAACTCTGTCTGTTGGTTTAGGGCTCCTTCTGGGAGCATTAACTCTCTCAAATTCCTGGCTTGCCCTAAGCACAAACATGCTCCCACAGCCAGAAAAAAGCCCTGAGGCAGAGTCACAGATTTTCACAAAGAAGCCTTCTCCTTGCAGAGGCGAATGCTGAAGGATATGGGTCACAGCTACAATCCACCCTTTGCCACTGCTCAGATCCATTGGGTGTCTTATTAAGTCCACTCTGTCCTGTCACCGATGCTTCAAGGTAGTGGCTGATTTCTGCAATTTCTGATTCTTTTAACAGAAAGTCTTACAACAAGAGGGTTAGTGGGAAAAACTACAGTAACCAGTGCTGCATTTGGTTCCAAGGCTGTAATCAACATTCAACATTTCCCTCCTCTACACTTCACTCTGTTGGTCTACAGGGCTTTCCCTACGGGAAATCCAGACCTTCATGCCTGAAGGTCTGTCTTTCATTACCATGCCCTTGCCAGGCCACCATTGCTACAACTGCCTGCCCATGGGATAATCAAGATCAAATATCTCTGCCACTATAATTCCTTTCTGTGCCCACTGGTCAATTGGTGTGAGATACCCAAAATGACCCAGTGGCTGCTGTAGCCTTAGGTTTGGTGGTACCTTTACTGCGATCTCTGGGAGATGCATTCCCCCACCCAGGAAGCAGGGCTTCTAATCCTGCAGAGCCTACATGTATAGGGACGGGAAGCACAGGTTCCTTAAGTGGGTCACTAGGACTGATGGTGAGAGGGGCATTCCTTCTTCCATTCCTGGTTCCTGTGCCTGTGATTTCTAGCTAGCTGGGATACAGAACCAGGTAATGGCCATTGGCTCAAAGTATGTACTGCATTTTGAAGGACAGCACCCCAACCTCAGAGGATCTTTTCTCCAAGTGGTTTTAGATGTGCCATAAAGAGGCCATACTAATGTACTAACAAGCTGGCAGGTTCGAGGTGATGTGGTACATCATAGGGCCAATGAATCCTCAGGTTATGTGCTCATTGTCACATTTCCTTCACTATAAAGTAGGTCCCCTTGGTTAGAGGTGAGATGACAAGGTATCTCGAGGCCAGGCGCTGTGGCTCACACCTATAATCCCAGCATTTTTGGAGACCCAGGCAGGAGGATCACCTTGAAGCCAGGAGTTCAAGACCAGCCTAGAAGCTTGAGGCTGCAGTGAGCTGTGATCTCGTCACTGCATCACTGCATTCCAGCCTGGGTGACAGAGCAAGATCCTGTTTCTAAAAAATAAAAATAAAAATGATTATAAGGGATCACATAAGGGTAAATCATTTACTTTGGGCCTTTGGATATTGGTGCTGGCCAAGGCATTTGGTCAGGGAAGGCAAATCCATATCCAAAATATGCACTAATTCCAGTGAGGACATGCTGTTCCTCCTTCTAGATTAAAAGAGATATATTGTGATCAACATACTACCAAGTGGCTGGTTGGTGTCCTTGAGAGCTGGTACCATGTTGAGGGTTCAGCATCTGTCTCTGGGGCTGACAGGCCAGACACTCAGCAGTGGCAGTAGCGAGATCAGCCTTGATGAGAGGCAGCCCCTGGCGGGGGACCCTTGTGTAGCTTCCATGTCTACTGCCACAACTACTCCATTCATGGGCCCACCGGGCAAGCCCTGGCATGACAAAGGCTGGCTGTTACCCACTGGAGTCCTTCTGTCTCCCTAGCAGTCCAATACCTCCTCTTTAGTCAATGTTCTGTAATGGTACTGACATACGACACAAAGAGTTGTACACTTTGTGCCTATTCCTCTAAGTTCATCCATGCACCTCTTCCCCAGATTTCCTTATCTCCAAACTTCCAATCTTGCTCTTTCCTGGCCCCTGACCAACCAACCAAGCCATTGCCACAGCTCGGGAGTCCAGTATATGACCTTACCTCAAGCCACCTCTCTCACTGCAGAGTAGGCAGTCAGTGCACTGCTTGACACCTCCTGGGAGGATTACCCCTCACGCTGTCTTCCAAGCCCACCCTTGAGCGGCGCTGTAGAGTGGCAGCGTTTATTCAGTTCACTTCAATATGTCAGACAGACTCATCCATGAACCAGGCCTGGATTTTCTCCCCCTCTCAAGCCTGGTCATAGAGAAATACCCCCAAAGCTACAGGATGAGCTGAGAGAGAGGTATGGGAGCAACGGAGGCAGGTAATGTGGGGTCTGGGCTACCTGCTCATGTGGCTTATTCGCGCCCTCT